CATAAATATAAAAAAGAATTTTCAATAGGAATACCTGTATGTGCTCCAGATGAAACCCTTCAGCTCTCTCTCAAGTGCTTCATGCAAAATGATGTGCTGGTCCTAGCTGAAGTGGATGCAAATAACACCATCTGAAGGCTGAAAATTGAATGTAGGCATTCTCCACAGAATTAAGAAAGGGCAAGCATCCAAGTGAATGGGTGTTTCAAGCATTCCAGTTTGAGAACTGATCTTCCTTGTATATTAAAAAAAGATAACCATATTCTTGTTCATCTATGTACTAGGAAAATCCCAAATAATGACTTGATTGGCTTCAAAAATCCAGAAACAAAGACTCACCAGGATCACTATCTGCTTTGAAGTCAACCAAAGGCAAGGTGTTAGTCCAGCTTTCCAAAAGAATCCCTAATTCCTGTGCAAGGACTTTCACAGTTGATGACTTTCCACATCCTGAGGGTCCAGTCAACAGGGCAATATGGCAAGAACCTCTCTAATAAAGAAAGGAGAAAGAGGATACATCATATCCCACCAGAGGTCTTTGTTTCATAAAATTTTCCCTCAAGAGATGGAAGAGATATTAAAGATTTTCTCCTAGTATAGACACTGTCTTTCCTGGTATTTATTAATTAGGAAATATCAGTCAAAATACTCACTCTTGATCAACCAAGCATGGCTTACTCTCAAAGCTATTAAAGATAGAACTTGAACCAAAGTATTACAAGAAAAGCCAATTGTGTGGAAGCTCATGACACAATTATGTTTTTCTTTACCTCTTGCTTTTTCTCAATAGTCTCAAAAGCTGCTCTCATAGATGATTCAAGCCATTGTTCATAGGTTTATTCTATTTAGCTATTTATCATTTTGACAAATGGCATAATTATTATTTGACTATTCTTGACCACACCCCTTCCTTATTCCATGTCTCTCATGGAAATAAGGTATTTATCAGGCACCACAAGAACTACCAACCATGAAAGCCCCCTCACAAATAACCTGGCAGACCATGTGGTATGTGGGGCAAATGTTAGGCTAAGAGCATTACTTATGCTTAGGCCTAGTCATCACCTTTAATGAGACTCACTTGAGACTTCTGTGACAAGGATGAGATGGAATTCAACATCCATTCCCTGATCTCTTCAATTTTCTTCTTATGTACTGCCAATTCAGATGCAAAATTGGGAGCGAAAAGATCAATCCACAGCTCCTTCATGTTACAGCCATTAAAATTTGAGTCGGTTCCCAAAGTCCTAGGACCATCCTTCTTTTTCTGATATTGACTTTGTTTTTGAAGGAAGGAAGACTTATGTCGTGAACCTTTTCCTGTGGGAAGGTTCTCATTGAGAAATACATCATCAAATGATGATTTCACCCAACCACATTGTTTCCCTGACATTCTCCTTCATATAAAGCCCATGCTATAGGAATAGGATAATCTCCTTCAAGCTGAAAAATAGATTAAACCCACTGAGTGAAAGACATGGTATCAAGAGGAAATCACCAAGCTAAATACCAATCTGCTGCAGTGTAGGGTAATAATGTACACTCTTTCTGGATTGCATTCATACCACCCCCTTATAATGGAGAAAACACTAATTTCCTGAGATTCCACTTCAAGTGATAGGTGTAACCACCCATGTGTAAGATGTCACTACCTGCAATAGATGGAAGTGCTTCTAAAGGGGAGTATGAATTCAATCTGGAAACTGTATAAAACATATAGGCATGAAGTAGTTTGATGTAAGTTGGTTATTCCAAATGTGGGACACTTTTAGTCTCAATTTCTTGCAGCAATTCAGTTTTATTCCCAGACAAACAGGCTCTATAGAAGAGTATTGATTTTCCAAGTGTTGATCATCCAAAGTTTAGTAATCCAGGCTAAATGAACTATGGACTTCTTGGAGAAAACTAACAAAATTGAGAGTTCACATTGTGAGTGAATCCTTCGCATGAGCCCACGAATGCTGCCTCATTCTGAAACCCATGTTAGCCCTCTCCCTCCCATATAAATCCCAACCCCCTGTATCCTCAATTAACCTCAAATTACCCTTAAACTTCCTATAAACCCAGACCCCTTGGGAGACTAAATTCGGACAGTGGTTACCTGATCCGTGACGCTATTCGGGTTCGGCCTTCACCACTGTAGTTCTTTTCACGTCAATTGACGGGAGTACTCGGTGTTCGTGGGTCTCCCTAACCAAACGCGCGAGGATTTCTATCGGGAAATAAACGCATAACTTTGTTTTCAACCTGGCCCCTCAGCGACAGGAGAAAACCTCACTACCAGCCGAGTCACACATTTACCCCATGAGGCTCGATTCGCTAACACTCTGGGCCTAAGCCTAGGTTAAAAATTGTGACCTACCAAATTTGAGTTGTCTTACTAGTTCTCGATGGCGATTTAAGAGGAAGACGGTAACTTAGCAGTGCTACCCTTCTGTCAGAAGGACGTAACAAGTATGCTTATATTCACGAGTCCCACGTGGTTCAAGCTCAATGCAAAAACCGCAGGCAAGCATTCGCAATGGTGTCCGATATGGGAGCAAAGTCATCCTTCCCCCATCTTTCTGTGGAATTACTTAGCGCTCAAACGTAATTGAAAATAGTCAAGTATGAATCATTTTTTAATTTCTAATAGGAAAATAGTCCTAAGATAATTAGAAACTTTTGCATTCCGCGAAAGCTTCTTTGAGGCGCTTACTATTAATACCTGTTCCATTACGTCATTACTCTTAGCAGCATGCTTCCTTACCCCTAAAGAGAGGGCCTGGTCCTTCCAGCATAATACTCATGCAAGTCTTGGGTTCTGTGCCTCTGTCCCTTGCCTAGGCTAAATCCGAATGTAATTTAAGAGCAGCGTGGAAAGCAATAGAAATCTGCTCGCCTGTACGAGAACGCCATTCTAATCAAAAAGAGGCTTGGAAGGAAAGGCCTGGTTCTCGCCTAAACTAATACTTTGGCCCAGTCTAAAGGCTGTGTAACATGTTGAAATGAAGAGGGGGAAATATATTGGTACCAAGCATATGATGGGACTCGTGACCAGGAGCCCAAACGAGAGAAAACTCGTATTTGGCAATGGCCAGGCTGGGAACGTGCTCCCCAATATCATCCAGTCCTCCGGCATCCCAACATATGCTTCGGTACTGGGTGCTCTTCCCCTTCATCGCAGCATCTTAATCGGCATCTATATTGGGTTAAATTATTCTTTAAGTTTTCCTCATTTTAGTAGCGTTAACAAGAGTGTTTGGTGAGAAGCAAACTTGTTGTTTTGGACTACTTGGAGATACATGCAAAATCTAGTCTGAAAGTAGATTTAGATTTAGGTCAGCATTTTAATATAGGTGAGCTAGAAGACTTTGTTGTTTTTTTGCATTGTTTTAGGAATAATTCAGTTTAGATTTAACATGGCAAGGGGCAGACACCTACTTTCTGCATTATGTGTTAAGGCCCATGGTCCAATTTCGTCTTGCCTCTCAAGTTGTGTATGTAGGCATTTTTTATTTTTCCTGAAGTAACTCTACCTGCTAAAAAAAAATAAAATTTGAAATTGAGGTGCAATTCTTAACCCACTGAACGACCAGCTTTTGCCTGTGATAATTTAGCAAAAATGATGAAGAGCATTTAGAGACAGTGTGACACTTGATATTCACCCTCCTTCCCATGTTGTCCAATGACAAAAACTTTAATGCAGAAATCTTATCTATTTTGGAAGTACATTTGAGTTTGTAGAATTGCCTTTTTGATTCAATGTGTGTCAGTTACATGTTGGCAGGAGTGGGCAATAAAATTTGGTAGTTGCTTTTAGAAGGCAATGCTCTCCATCTTTTCAGCCATAGCAGTCTGTTCACATTAAGTGGTCCAGAGAGCCATAGCATGAAATCCTGCTTGAATTATAAAAATTCTATACAAAGTTTCATTATCACTAGTCCCTAAAGACATGAGTAAATGGCAATATTATTTCTAAATTGAAGGAACTAGCTATTTTCATCAAATATTATTAGTACCACTCTCCCTGCCTGGGGCTAAATGTTGCAGTCTTCATAAGTTGATTCATCATCATCATTTGAAATGTTCTTAAATGTACTTCGTGTATCAAATATTTTTCTCTGGATGTCATATCCAACACCTTGAATAGGCCTAAGCTATGCTTTGCTAGAAGATATCGTATTGTCATACCCCTTGGAGCATCTTGAAGCATGGAGATCAAAAGGTGCAAGTGTCTATAAATTTTGCTGGTGGATGTGAACATTTTGAAGGCAACTTTACAAAAGTTATGGTTAATTGTAGTTTATATAATTAAAAAATTTTCACACTGAAATATCAATGGAATAAGTAAGATATACTGCAAAAATATTTATAAGAATTTCAAAATGTAAAATAATTCATGCATTCCCTTAATGGATGATGTCCACATATACTAGGTTGTAACAAAAGTTTTAGTGCATACAAACAACTCAACGGTCTGCGAAGCACAATTTTTTTGTCACACATTCTGAATGAAAGCGTGTTTTATGCCGCATATAAATATATGTTGCTTTATTTTACAAATCACGAAATTTATGAAAATTACAGTGTTCAGAATGTGCAATGAAAAAATCGGGCTTCGCGGACTATTGCGTTGTTTGTATGCACAAAAACTTTCACTACAACCTAGTATGAACACTGGTTCTAGGATTTCTTCAACACTTACTTCAACAAAAAAAGTATTTTTTTTTTATTGGTTGTGTTGTGTAATTGAAAACATGTCAAATCTTAAGTCACTATCCATTCTAAGCTGCTCTGATGCAATAAAGGGTTAATTTTGTTCCAGCCATAATACAGTTCAACCATTGAGTTCTCTGTTGCTGTATCTACACACCCTCTGTAAAGTATGATAGGCCTGTGCCCATACCACTACAATTGTTTATAATGATTTTGTGCCTTTGAGGAAGTGGGAGGCATTGTTTTTTATTGTCATAAAATGAAATTTGTAAGATTCAGTTCCTCAGTATCTTCATTAATGATGGCAGCATATCTCTCTGCATTTATTGTTCTATCTTTTATATAGGTGTGATATAAAAATTTAATACAATTGTGGTAGTATCAATATTCTGTCTATGTGAAGAGAAGTTTTAATCAGCTGTAATCTGGATGGAATTTGGTGAAGGAGATACATCAGTAGATATAGCTTCTGATGGGAGCATCCTGTATGTGACTGCAAATGAATCATCAGATCATTCCTTGAATGACATCACTTCCATCAAGAAAAATCTCCCATCTCCTGAGGAAATTCTGGCACTGCAAAAGCCAGAATCTGTGAATCTTAGACCAGCTTGGAAAGGAAAATTGGAGTCAGGATCATCAGATATCCATAGCCATAATTGTGAGACTCAACACTCACAATCTCATGATAGTTTAGTTCAATCTCAATCAGGAGCCAGGGCATCACAAGATGGAGGTCATCTTGTAGAAGTTGAGGAAGATGAGGAGGCACCAGAAGCAGTCATTGTTCAAGGATCAATGCATTTCAGTCTTGGCTCCTCTATGCCCAAGATCAATGCATCACTTGAACTGAATACACCTGCATTCTGTGTGGATGAGAAAGTGGAGTTGGTAAGGCCCATGAGTAGGGAAATGGAATCAGATTCTGGCACTACCTCCCAATCCTTGGGAGAAGATTCAGGAATCATTAGTCCAAGTACAGAGCCTATGGATGTCACACCAAGTGAAAAAGTTGCCCCCATGCTGGGTGCACAAAAGGTATCTGATTTCATACATTCTGGTACCAAAAATTCTGAAGCAAGAGATGTTTCGGCTGGGGAAAATGATATTGAAAATGGAAGTCCAGTCAGTGAGTGGATTTTTCTTGACAGGACATGACATGACGGTCATCCAGAAATTTGTTTTGCAAATATTTAGGCCATTTCAGGTCACCTTGATGAGGGGGAATGGACTGAGGCATCTGAGGAAGATACTGAAGAAAATGAAGCTCAACATGAGCTAACAGATGTTAACTTCAATGAAAAGGAGTTGCCAACAACAGTGTCTGTACTGAAGGCATGGAATGGAAGCAAAGTGTTCCTTGTTGGGACAGCACATTTTAGCAGAGAAAGCCAACAGGATGTTGCAAAAGTCAGTTAAATTTAATTTATAATTACTAAACCCCAGTCATAAATTCATACACCCGAGTTCACCAGCTCATGTGTCCTAACTTTTTGTCTTTAGGATATTATAATGGACATGCAATAATTTTTGGCAATACATTTTCCTGTAGATGAAAGCTATTAACTTCAAGTTTGCTTGTCTCTTCAAAGTACTTTCCTGAGATCTATGGCATTGCATTCTAATAAGCAACATGTGCTGTTGGTACTTGAACAAATATACACTTTACAACAGCGAAGAGTACAGCTTTTGGTCAACTCCTGATTGTAAAAAAAAATTGCTTTCTTCCTGGTCTTGATTTGAAAACTGGAAGTAACCATAGGCCTACAGTGATTTTGCCTTTATCTGAATAGCAAATATATCAAAAGGCAAATGGCCTCAAAGCATGGCCTGATGAATCAGTGCATATTACACATTCAGGAATTTTTGAAGATTCAATGCCAAAAAGTAATCCTTGGTCTTGAGTGATGTGGATACAATAGCATGTGTATTTACAGGGGAATGTATGGGGAAATTATGTGAAGGCATGAATTTTATTGCTTTTGTACAGGTTTTCCCTAATTAATTCCTAGAGTTGAAGCAATGCTATGGAAACAGTGATTGAGAGTAATAAACTTTATTCAGATAGAGTAATAAAGCATTTTAATTAAAAACATTGAGTGTGATATGATTTCAATTTTATCATTTTGCTTTGGCACCATCACTCTAAACACATCTGGAGCCAGTCCTTTACACTGCACCTTTGTACACAATCCAGGCTCAATCAAACTCAGCCATTCTTAAATGCACTTGTGTAATGTATCGAGGTCAGGGCACTTAGTAGATCCCCACAGGAAAAAATGAGGTAGTTTTAAGTCACATGATCAGGGTGGCCACTCTGATTCTGAGATGTGCTTGTGTGGATTGTAGACATTTTGGTGTTTCTTTTAGTACCATTTTTTACCATATACTGTGCTCTTATTGCTTTGTGTTTATTTCTGAAAATCTATGTTATGTGTAGGGTGCAAGTCCGCAATGTGTTAATGCTGCCTCGTTTTTTCCCATGGGGACTTATCAAAGATAGGATGTATGTTACTAAGTGTCCTAACCATGGTACATTACATAAAAACATTTAAAAAGTGCTGAATTTGATTGAGCCAGAATTGTGTACAAAGGTTTACTACAGTGTGAAGGAATGGCTCCAGATGTGTTAAGAGAGTGATGGTGCCCAAGTAAAATAATAAAATTGAAATCAGATCATGCTCAATGGTTTTACTTGATGCACTATATGAACATGAATAAAGTATATTACTCTCAACCACTGTTTGAACAGACATGCTTAAACTCTAGGGAGTTAATTTTGAGACACCCTGTATATTGGAAAATAAAAGGTGATTGCCAAAACTTATTGAATGGCCCTTGTGCTACTACAATATTTATTCTTCCATCCTGTCTCAAAAACCTCTGGTTTCTGCATTTTATATTCTCTTTCTCGAACCAAGGATTATCTTGCTCCTATCTTCATTTGCAGACTATCTCAATGGTTCAGCCACATGTGGTCATGGTGGAATTGTGTAAGAGCAGAGTCTCCATCCTTAGTATGGATGAAGAAACTATCATTGAAGAGGCCAAAAATATCAACTTTGGTTTGTGTGCCATACTCTTTCATATTCAGGAAATATTGGGAAATGCCATGTTGAGTCATTCAGGGACCTCTTTTGGAAACAACCTTTCTTTACATTGACAGAAAAGATCAAAGCCAGCATGAAAGAGAATGGTGTTGTACAGGGTCTCCTCTACCTCCTCCTCCTGAATATGACATCTCATATCACCAAGGAGCTTGGAATGGCTCCAGGGGGAGAGTTTCGTACAGCATTTCATGAGGTTAATGATAGAACTATGACTGTTTGCAGCTCATAGCTTGTTATTGTTCTGTAATTTCTGATATGGGTTCTCTTTTTATAATCCTAGGCAAAAAATGTGCCCCATTGCATTGTGCAATTGGGTGATAGACCAATTCAAATCACATTGCAGAGAGCTCTTGGGTCATTGGGGCTCAGACAAAAAATCAAGCTGGCCTGGCACCTAATCACTTGCAAGGATCCTATCAGGTCAGGCCATGTTTCAAGGTATTAATTGTGTTATGTGAAACTTCTCCACTATGTATGATATTGTCATGTTCCTTTGCACATCCTCCAGTAAGGAGGAAGTGGAGAAATGCAAAAATAGAGATCTATTGGAAGAGATGCTGGCTGAAATGGCTGGGGAATTTCCAGCTCTTGATGAAGTATTTGTCAAAGAAAGGGACCTTTATTTGACTCACTCCTTGCATCTTGCTACATCCCAGTCAGGTGGTTTTTATGTTATTTCTGCCCATTCTTTCTGGAAAAAAGGTGTAAGATATAGCTTTAAGTGACAATTTCTAATTCTAGATGTACCAATGAGGGTGGTGGGTGTGGTTGGGATTGGGCATGTACCAGGAATCGTTCGCAACTGGAATAAGAAATTGAGTGAAGTTGAGTTTTCTCAGCTGCTTCTGTGAGTCCACATAGGCATTCTCACCTCTTGTTCCATGAATGTGATTGACATAATTTGATTATTTTGCTCAGCATTCCACCCCCCTCACGCTTGGGTCGTGTTATCAAGTTTACCATCAAGGCTTCATTCCTGGGACTTACTGCATATGCTTGCTATCGTATCTTCCCATTTCCAAAGATAGTCCAAGAAAGTGTCCAAGGATTCACCAATAAGATTCGTACTTCCTTTGGTCGCTGATTTGCTTTTCTTATCCTTCAGGTCAGAGGAACTTATATGCACTCATTTTCTTTGAAATTTTATTAAATTCTATGTATGTATATTCTCTTGATCAATAGGTTGACTTTTTGTGTGAAAGTGAAGAGAAAAGTATCTGTGATTCATAGGATGGCTGAAGATTGCTACAGCCATTTGGAACCAAACATTTTGTACACTTCAGAGAATGTCCCTGGCCCAGACTGCAACAAAGAGGACTTTGAAATACAGTACCTTGGCTGTGAATGTAATGCTACAAGATGTGGTTCCTGTATAGAGTTAGGATCTTCCTGCTCCTGTGTGATGCACTTTGGACACAGCTACTCTGAAAATCATCTAGTATCCATTGAGCGAGGAAAATTTCCCATTTATGAGTGTCATTCACAGTGCTCTTGCAATCCTGATTGTGGAAACAGACTTGTGCAGTTTGGGCCTTGCAAGGATCTGCAAGTGTTTCATACTGAAAAGAAGGGTTGGGGGCTCCAGTGTGCAAAGACTATCCCTGTCAGGAGTTTTGTATGTGAATATGCTGGAGAGGTGCTGGGAGTTAGAGAAGCAAAGCGACGAGCAGCAGCTTCCCCAGCAGGAAGTGCAAATTACATCTATGTAATCCGTGAACATGTTGTCACAGGAGTTCTACAGACAGTGATTGACCCAACATGGATTGGGAACATAGGTCGATATATCAATCACTCGTGCCAACCAAATCTCTTTCCCGTCCTTGTTAGGGTTGGATCGCCCGTCCCAAAACTGTGCTTCTTTGCTCTGGATAATATTACTGCTGGTCAGGAGTTGACCTTCGATTATTCAGGGCTCGTTGAGGAGAAAATGCAAAGCTCAAGATGCCCATGTGCCTGCCAAACACCTGTATGCCGTGGTTTTCTTCCATTTCATCCCTCTGTGTTTGATTCCCCTGTTCCCTGACTAACTCATGTTGCTGTCTGTTTTGTTTTTCTTTTTTTTTTTTTGGTTGTGTAATTTAAAGGCACAGTATTTGTTGATGACATTCTTGTTCATTTGCCAAGGTCATAATGGTCCATCTGTTGTAACATGCACTAAATATCTGATTAAACTTGCTCCCATCCCACCTCTTTCTAGATTATTTCAGAAAATTGCAGGATACAATTATCTCTCCCCTTGTTCAATCTGCCATGTAGAATGGAATCATAATAAAGCAGTTGACCCTTGTTGTAGGATTGTATCCTAAACACGAGAAAATGATCATTCCATGTCCAACCTTGTGTGACTCAACATAATAGTATGGTGTACCTTTTAGTTTATTCTGACAAAGCTGTGATCCTTGAAAATTGGGAAAACTGAGGCACCCAAGCCCATTTACATGTGGAAGGGTCAGTGATGTATTTGCTACAAGAACTCAATTTTTCTGAAAATTTTTTCAAGTATCCAAGAAAATGCAAGACATGTGCCCTGTTGTTTCACTGTCAAGAACATGTCCAAGTACTTGACTCATTTCAGACAGCCTGACAGCAATGCATGTGTGAAAGACATATAGCAGCAGGGACCTAAGGTGAGTGTGCACTCCTCTATAGCAAAGATGGCTCAACCAACATTACGAAAGATGCATGTTACAGTCAAGTTGTTCCCATTATGCAAATTTGAAAACAATGAAAGGGTATATGCCCAAACTCTAGCCCATTCAAATTAGACTAGTTCACTATCTCATTGCATACTGGTGATTACGATGTGTTCTGGTTTGGTAGAGGTTTCAAAGTATGCCTACAGCTAAAATAACACTTCCATGTTCAGTTTTACTGTTCAATTCTACTGAAGCAGATGGGAAAAACCATCATTAGTCCTTATAGTTCTTTGGTGTGAACATTGGACCTCATTCTTGAAGACCGTAGGTAAATTATCGAGGAATTTGCAGCACTTTCTGGAATAAATATATTGTTTCTTAGAAACCTGATCAGAACTGGGAACAACACAAGAAGAAAAAAAAAGAGGGAAGCCATGATCATCAACGTTCCTCTAGAGTCAGTGTTTCTTGGGGACATAGTTTTAGTTCCTCCAAGCTCTTGTGTGTCTCCTCTTGGCTCAACTAGGAAAAATTGAAACATAGAACAAGAATGAGTGTCTTTCAAAATAGACAAAAGTAAATTACAGCATTTAAATAATGAATTGATTACTTAAATTATGAGATGATAGAACCAGTAATTTTGATAAATACATAAAAATCCAGATTTTCTTTGGATGGGGAGGGAATGCATATCCATGCCCATAGAAGAGAACCAGCCAGCCTAATCCCGATCTGCACATCCTACTCAAACTCACATCTCTCCGAGGGAAACTGGTGAGTACTTTGTATTCCTCAGGGGGGTATCCCTCGACTGTTACATAATTGAGCACGTCCTACAACATAGAAGAATGAAACATGCAGGTTAAGGTGATTGTGGCTTCAGTTAATGGAATGACAATTGGTTTCGAGACCTTGAGAGAGTTGGAGGCAAGAAATCTCCTGTACAAGACTTCCCGGTGAGGGACACGGAATCGCAGAGCAGCTACTTTCTCTGTGCACCCTTCACCTGGCTCCTCTGGCAGCTGATCCATCAAGGACTGCCTCACTGCCTACAGAGTGACCAACCCAAAGCACACTATATCCTCAAAAAATTGAAAGAGACAGTGAGTGCCTTCATATTCTCAGCTCCATGAGAAAAAGACAAAAGACATAGCTGCCTATTCATGAAATCAGCCACTCGTTCAGTCAAGTCATTCTTATGTTCCTTGCTCAACCAGGTAATTTCAAAATGTCATAGGGACGGTTTGTTAGTTCCTCTACCAGCACGAACATACAGCATGTGGGCACCTAGACATGGCTATTTGACAGCCCATATAACATAGAGGCCACCTTTATGTGCAACCATGAATGCCACCATATGCATTCTAATTCTCATGATGTATTAGACAGTATGAGACCATGAGAATGATTGAGAATAAAAGCAGGCATAGTATGGATCTCAAAAACCTATCTGAAAGATTTGTGTTGACCTACAAAAAAACAAACTCACTTCTTTGAAATCTCTTGCCTTCTGCTGCTCTAGAGCTTCAAACTGTTCTTGCTTGAACTTCTTCTCTTCTTCCTGCTTTCTTGCTTCCTCCTTGGCCCTGGGAAATGTAATGCATCAGTATTTTGATATAGAGCAAGTAAAATGGGCTCACTGTGCCTTGCAGTTATGCATGCCACAGCAAAAAAACAACCTGACTTTCCAGGACCCTGAATGCCAGCTTTAGTACAGAAATACGGCCTTTAAATTTTTTTATGGCGGGGGGGGGGGGGAGGGGAGTAGTTACTCACTTCATATATTATAATTTCCCCCTATTTCTCATTGCATGCCAGCAAAATTACAGCTTGATGCTACTTAAGGTATGCATGCCATAGGTTTATAATCACTGGCCTTATGTCTACAATATATAAGTTCAACCTGTCAGCAGCAAGTGATTCATGATAGGCCTCATCTTGTTCCCGCTTCACCTGTTCCCGTGCCTCCCTTTCATACTCTTCCTTTGCCTCAATAGCTTGTTGCTCATGAAACATGTCCACAGCCTGAATGAGACGAGTCATCAACTCATCCACACTCACATTCCCTGGATATGAATACCAAACAGGACTCTTAAGTCAACTGTGAAACAAAGCAGTCCTGAAATGACTTGGAAGAGTTTGGAAATCACCATGTATGACAGCAGAAACCTCTAGAGAAGCCCGATTCTTGCCAATAACCATAAGGAGAGGAAATTTCTCAACATCCATACTCCATAACATGGTGGATGATAAATTCCCCACATGTTGGTTCAACTGCTTCAGGAATCTAGAACAAAAGGAATAAGTAAAACCCAGAGGAAGCCAAATGAGATTGGACAAAAAATGAGAAGACAGACTTGGCTCGATTGGATTCATGTGTGAGGTCCCAGCCCCAAATGATGAAATGAGAAGAGAGAAAGGACACAATCGACTCTGTGCACAAAGCATGAGAACAAAACACATTGGACAAAATGCTTCCATCATGATGGAGATATATGGCGAGTGGCTTCCGCTAGAAGAAGGAAAACCATTCATGATATCCATTGATTCAGTTCTGGAAGATCAATCTTGTTCCCAATTAAATAAAATGAACAATAACCTACATCCTTGGCAGGCTGAGATGTGGCCTCTCTCAAGGCATTATCAAGGGTCCCATGAAACCACATGGGTATACAAGGTCCATAACGATTGGAGAACTCTGCAGAAAATGTGATGGCTGATGCCTCCTCATCATCTGCATCAGGTGGAACTGAAATTTTAAAATATATCATTTTCAACAGCCAAGTACCCATATTCCTCACATTGCCAACCTTAAAAACAAGACTCACTGAGAGGATTTCTGGAAGAAGTTTGACTGGACGTTGGTGCAAAAATGTCTTCCTCTAAGGAGAAGGAATCTACTACTTCCATCACTTCATCTGAGTCTTCATCACTGGATGTTATGTCTATCACGTTTGGATGCTACAGAATATCAAGGAAATGACAAAACAAGGATATTTATAGCATGAGAACACAGCAACAACACGGCATGAGTCTGATTGAAGCATCATCACATCCTACCTTATGATTGCCTGGTGGCAATTTCTTGCGATTGCTGGATGATGATGAGGAACCAGATGATCTGATGGTTTCTTTCAGAGTGAATTCATGTGTTAAGTCTATCCCTGCTCTTGCCAATGTTGTCTACAGAGGAAAAATGACACATAAGGAAAATGCAGAATGTAAAGTACTATTGGGTGGTGCTTAAATAGCACAGAGATTTTTCCATTTATTTCTCAACTTCCAGCTACATCATAAGCAATCATATCTATCCTTTACCTAAAGGTAATTCTAAAATTGAATTTATAGCTACCAGAGTATACTCATAGCAGCTGTTCAACTAAGGCACCTCGAAAATTTTCAAATCATGCCTCACCTTTTCCAAAAGATACACAAAGACTCCTTAAGCATTGCATATAACATATAATCTCACTTTCCATAAAATGATTGACTTGCAGATCTCTCGGATGATCTCATTTCAGGCATATCGAATGCTGGCTCTCTGTTTGGCAATGGAGCAACCTATATTGCATCACTTGACTCACCAGCTAGACTTTTAGTGTTAAGAAAGGTCAGATTGACATCATACTGCAGTTGTGCAGTAGCCCTTCCAAACTGTGTGAGATATGAAACATTTCAAGGTTACTTAGTTAAACAGCCCCTGCTGGTGTACTCTGGTATTCAAAAATGTATAGTTTTCATGGGACAAAGAGAAAAGATGGATGTATATGTAGTTTGATTTGTACACCTCTGTTTCATCTGGAAGTTGAGAAGTAAATGCAAACATTTCAGCGTGTTTTTTTAACGCACCACCTGGAATATCAAGTGAAACTCGATCAACTCACAGAGTCATCAGCAGAGGATGGCCAACCTGTCCACTCCTGGTGTCGAGCAGGAATATCTGTGAGTTGAAAGATGCTATTCTTCACTTCACTGACAGTCTGGGTGCCAGGAAACTTTAGTGCATAATCTTTCCCATGGGTCAGGTCTCTGATTGTCAGCATGAAAGTCTTTCCCAGCCTCTCCTCATAAGTGTCCATTCTATGGGCAACAAAGACTCATCAATGGATCTTAATCCCAAGCCCTGTCTATCAACACCTGAAATCCCACCTTTCACTTTGGCTGTCTGAATTTGAAGATCCTTCAGCATGATCAAGAACAATGATGTGGTTGAAAGGTGGTAAACTGAGATTCTTCAAAGAAGTTGCATCATTTACATCACCTCCAAAAAACACTTCTGCCGGGTTTCCTTTGTATCTCAAGTCCTGACTACAGGGTCGGATTCCAAACCGAGCATAGATCCTTGTCTTGAATATGCCTGTATGATGATGGGGGTACACTTAATCACTTAATCAGGGACTGCACATCTGATTTATGCCAAAGAAGAGGTTTCTTGGTTACCAGTACCAGGAATGTAACAAACAGAGAAAAAATATTTATAAGATGGGAGAGTGTCAAGTTCTTCTAGTATTGGTACCATGAATTTGTGAATTTTAACACTCAATGGAAAACAATATGGCCTTCGGCAAGATGACTTACCAACAGATTCATCTTCCTCAATTAAAAAATCTTGTATCTGGTTTTGGAAGGACACCCTGAAGGTGATAGGATGACCTGTTTCACCCCATGCATTAGTCCTTGGATCCACTGCCACAAGATCAGGACTGGCAGAGATCAAGGAGAACCTAGTTCTTTGTGCAGCAGAATTGCTCACACTGGGCCGGACCATGTCAGGTTCAGGCCCTGAATCAGGAATTGCCATTATCTCTTCTACAATTTCAGGATCATTGTTCTGCTCTGATGGGAGAGTCTGTGTCTCTTGAGGAGTCACCTGATTGATGGCTTCCTAAAAAGAAAGAAAGAATCAATTCAGTGTTTCTTGGTTAAATTCTTCTCTTGTTGGAGTCCATTCTCAACCTCAGGGATCCTAATTAGGAATGGACCAATGTTTAAAAATTGTCAGATAATCAATGCCCAATATTGTTACAATACAATAACTTCTTTAAAATATTGGCTATCAGTTAGCCATCAGGTGCCAATTTACCAAATGGCCAATATTAGCAAGTCAGCATACCACTTTTTCTCACTTTTAAGATGGTCACTGGAATATGCACTCTTTCCATGTGGAAAAAAAAAAAATTCTTACTTGCAGATAATTACACTTTTCCATTTGGCCCCTGAATTTTATCATGTGAAGATGCACAAGCTCAAATCAAGTCAAGCTCAAGCAGTTGCTGAGATATGGTTGCTCAAAGAAATACTGTGTACTAGTATGCTCTAGGTCAGTGTTTCCCAAATGGTGTGCCGCCAGTAAGGCTTAAGTGTGCCATGAGATTTGAGAGTTGACAAAAAAAAAACTAAAAATCTATAACTAAAAAAACTTAAAAACAAGAGGGAACGCCATCTCTCAGTGGAAAACAAGCTGAGAGCTGCACTACCATGCCTCGTATCAAACTGTTGTGTTCAGCAAAGCAAGAACAAGTTTCCCATCAAAAGGAAGTAAATGGATGGGTGTGCCGTGGAAAGTTCAAGTGTCCTTATATATGCTGCAAATAAAAAAAGATTGGGAACCACTGCTCTAGGTGATGCAAGTCAGCACTACATGACAGACCATTAAACCTGTGGTGCTCAGGGGGGGACACAAAGCATGTACCAGGATGTCTGTTCATACAAAACAGGAGTTGAGCCACTTGTGACACTTTGTCCTTGTCTGTGTGGTATGATGCTTCACCCAGTCCATGCAAAAGAAAATGCTCATAGATTGTGAGGTGCTATACCTATTACTACATCAACATAAAATTGCTAAAGAGCACAAATTACACTCTGCTAATTTCATCATTCTGCATTGCATTTGTGGCATAGAGAAGAACAGCTCTTGTCAAAATAAATTCTGATTATTGGAGATTTTCTCCATCTTGAGGCAATTTTCTGTACAACATACCATTCCCTCTTGTAATGTCATCAGAACGCAAGTAACCTCCAAACATGAATGCCAGGAAATTCAGTTTGGCTTTCATGTAAACTGAGAATATTCTACCAAGGTTCAATACTCACCATTGGGCTTCTTTAAGTCCTGCATGTAGATACAGCTGAGCACCATGTTTAAGAGTGCCCCTTCCCAAGTATGCCAGGGCTTTCACTCAAAAATAAACGCCTGATTTGATTGGTTTCAAATCCAGGTCTCCTACCACAATGATCAAGGGTATTACCAACCAAGCTGCTTGTCTGCCCAATTCTGAGTAACTATATACAGTAGAGAGTGCCATCGAAAAGACAAAGGAATGGCAGACCTATCATCCCTAAAGGTGCGAAGGCGCTTTAGAAAATGTCAAGATAGTTGACGATATTTAAATCGTCAAGCTTCTATGAATACAATTAGAGTTGAATGTATTTACAGTAGACCTAACTTAGGCCTATACTAGGCCATAGCAGCGAAATGCAGAAAATGTTGTTTATTCATCTATTCGAATATTCCAGTACGCTCTAATCCTGACGTCAGGACGAGAGAGGGACCACTTGCCAGTAGATTCCAATTAGCAGCCTCCAGATGCATGATACATTCTTCCACATCTTCAATGCCCGTACAAGACTGCAAAGCAGAAATGAGGATCGAATATCTGAGCAACAGGCTTAAGCCTGGGCTTCTTAACCCAACAGTTAGGCGTTGGCTAACCTGAAAATCTTGCAGCAGTTGATTTCTCTCTGTCTCGGCCATGTCCGTCGCCATGTCAAAAAAAGTTCTATCCGAAGTCGTTAGATGTCGGCTGTCCATGGTTTGTGCGCCGCGTGGGCATCAAGGAAACATTCACGCCAATCAGGAAACATCTTCCACAGTTTCTGGATTTGGACTGGACTCTATTGTCACGGCCTCTCACAGGTTCCTGTCATGCTGTTTTTTTCATCGAGTTCCAAAAATCACCTTCCTGTTTCATAATGGCAAAAAGTATTGTTTTGACTCATTAAGCCAGCTAGTGACAATTCACCTTCACTTACTTGAATTTTCGGTCAAAATACTCAACCTTGCGAAGGATGGAAAGGAGCAGAGATGATGGAGAGAAACAACCCTCTCAGGAACCCTGGATTTATCTGATTGGAACCCCGAAAGGAACTGAGACCCGGGATGCGATGGAAAACAGGAAGTAGAATGAAGGACACGTGGACCATCGAGTGATCGCCTCATAAAGACTACCTCTGTAGTTGCAAATAATGTTGAAACGCGAACAGAAGTGTTTGAAGGTGTCTATTCGGAAGAGTAGGAGGCAGTCGACTTGAATTATGCACCCTTAATCAACGTGCAGTTTAGTCGGAGACAACTGAGACCGTCGCACCCCACGCGCCATGAAGGCATTGCAATAGCTAGCATGAATTCGTTATCAGTCCAGCGAAGCATTGCGAACTCCCTGCTCGGAAGTACTATATCATGCCTCCCTTAATTCAATAATCATCAACGAAGTCAAAGCTAAAATTGAGCCATACCACACCGACGTGATACCGACCCGTTTTATTGTGGGGTTACTATTCGCCGCGGCACCGATACGTGTATTCAATCGTCACCCTTCTATGCAAATTCATGAAACCCAAGTCACTCATGATTGGGGACGGGAGCCGCCTCTAGATGGCAGTGGCTCAAGCAGCAGAATTGTATGTAGTTCGTGTTGGCATTGTATTGAAATTGATGAGAGTAATTTTGCATATTGAAACGGCACAATACCACCAAAAATGAAATGAAACATACTTCGTATTCTTGCTGTCACAGAAAGTCAATAGAATGCAGAAATTCGATAGACCTTCATATCAGCTTCTTGACGATGAGCTTCGTTCTTTGCTCTCGTGGCTCTCTGTTCTTTTCCGAAGGTAATGAATTCAAGGTATGAAGGATCGAGTTATCATTGCTGATGGAATTGGTACTATTGCCTGAAACGAGACCCATGTAGCAACATGGAATGGTTGTACTCAACGCCTCAATCCCCTCCTGCGGCGGCCCGTTTATTTCCCCAACCATGCTGGCAGACCATTAATGAGGCGAGAGATACGCTCTGCAGAGAGCCCAAAAGAAACCCTGCAAAATCGTGAGAAAACACAGAAAGCTTGGGAGGGGATATGGCTCCTCGACATTTTTTATGCGTTGATAGCTATAAACTTGCACCTCATATTTCCGTGGAAACATTTTGGGCAGAGTTTGCAAGGCGAAATTTACGATTGGACGAGCTCTCATGCATGCATTTACGTGACTGCCTATCTGAACTAAATGAGGTCGCGATTGGAGCAGGTGGAGGTGCATCTTCCGATGGTTCCTATCCTGGGAGAGAGACTCGAGCTCAGGAGGTAATGCCGAGTCACAAAGTTTCGCAGTATTCGAAATGAATAAGCTGAAATTTACTAGACGATTTCCAGGTGCTGCGCCATCCCGTGTTTCAGGGTCCCGCTTTCTAATGGTTACGTAGCATATGAGTGCCGAATGACCCACAGTAGGTGACCATTATTCCCATACTCCTGCAATAATCCCCAACCCCCCCCCCCCCTTTCCCCCATTTTGGCATGCTCCCAATGCGTCTCGAAAATCTGGAAGAGCCTGTCCTTTGCCTTCCTAACAAGAAGTACCACCGCGCCTCTTTGTTACATGGGCGTAGCCCCCCCGATTTCCATGCAGTCTGGCGTACCCTATCCAGCTACGAGAACCCATCGGTGTCCGATGCTTTCATGGCCTCTGTCCGAATTTCCTCCATTCAAGGAGATTCCTATTCTTCAAACTGACGAGAGCCAGTGTATCTTCTTCGATGGTGAGACTACTCACCAAGCTATGAGGCTCCAAAATGAGTATAATGCTAGAGCTCGCTATGGGCGGGTTAGAGAGCTTTTAAAAAATATGTTCCTTCCCACTACAAAATATTTTCGGCTCGGTTAGTCAGCACCTCCCCGTTTCGGTCTTAGTTGACCAGGAGCTTGCATTGTCGGAACCTTCATATGGTTTGCCAGAGCATCTTGTTACGAGTATGGAAGTCGGATTCCACTTTCTCGTCTTCCACGCTTCATTTTTCGCTTCAGCCACAGCTCGAGCATCGGCTCTACGCGCATCCTGTAGCATGTCCTCGTAAAGTCTGACCTAATGGACGTATACATCATGTAGGCCCGCCTTCTTGGCATCAACAGCCCGACATACCTCTAGCGTATATCAGGGAATCAGGGAGGCTTCACTTGGCTTTACCGTGTGCAAAACCGATACACTTTTCGCCGGTGTAGCCGAGACACCAGACCGAAATAGATCCCATTCCGTCTCTTTTATCAAAAGTCTGGGAAGGCAGATGAAAATACTTCTCGCCGATCACCCTTGCCAATTCGACCCTAGTTGCCAATTTGCCATCACGGAGGGCTGCCAACCTTAGCAAAACGTGTGACTTGACGCATTGTTTTGACGTTCGTCCGTATCTAGAGTTTGCTGAACACTTGATGGTGATCGATGTTCATTGTGGCCGACACACTTTACAATCGTATCTATCACGAGGCCTCGCAAATCTGCCAAAACGATCGCGATCGGCTATTGTCGACTCACAGTTCTAGTTCAACCGTTTTACTACCTAAATCAGATATACTCATGGATGTCTTTGTGCTGCGTGAAGGTGTTGATAACAGTCAGGCCAGCTAGGACAGAAGTCTTGCAATTTAACACCATTCCATTCAGAGTGAGTGGCTTCTCCAAACAGGCCGATCGCATCGCTCCATGAAGCTTCGTCTTCCCAAGTCGTGCGTTGCAGTTCCCCATCATCAATACGAGAACGCGATTGGGGATTCTTTTAATGATTCTATCCACCTCTTGAAGGAACTCATCGCAGTCGCCGCGCCCGAAGAGCAACCAAGGCCTCGACCGGCTCCAGTTTCAGGTAGACCCGTTAGCCGATCGGTTTTCATTCAATCACGCTGTCGATTTGCGGACAAATATATCCCCGAAAGAAAATTCCCAGAGTGGTTTATTCCCTGAGAGGATTTTTCTCGGCACGGTCTGTCCCAGATAGGCACTTCTACCCGAAGGGCATTTCCCTGATGAATTATTCCTCGAAATGCGAAATTCCGACGGAAAGTTCCTCCCCGACTCCTAACGGTATCGAGCTTCTTGCATTCCTACGTCCCTGAGGCACAGGGAGATCGCTATGAAATGCTTCAAGAACACGCAGAGTTTCTGGAATACTTCTAGAACAAGCGCGTGGAGAAGACAGAATAAATGTCTGTGTGAACCCTGCCTTAAGCATCGAATCGCGCTTCTTGGTATACAAGAAATGCCAGCGAGTGGTTGACAGTGTCGTCGGGAGGGCCTGCATAGAATTCATTCTCCTTCTTTATCGGATTCACCTGAGCTATAAAGAGCAGAGCTTGAATCAGATGAATGTGCTGTAGTATTGCTACTTGAGCCTCAGAATCGAGACTTTGATCCACCGATACGAGTACGCCAGGAGAGAAAAACTGAATTTCATCGTCTCATGTGGGATTCCCTGTGCAAGTGGAGTTCAACAAAATTTGCCGGAGAATTCGTGGTGGACTCTTTTTTGTAGACTACCATTTCTTCAGAACGAATTCGACTAATTGGGGAGTGGGGCAGATTACCCCCCCCCCCCCCCCCCCCCCCCCCCCCCCCCCCCCCCNNNTTGGGGAGGGGGGCAGCTTCCCCCCCCCCCCCCCCCCAACCACCAGCACAGATTGTGAATGGGAATCCTAGATGTGCCACTATTCACATTCAATTAGCAGTTGCTGTCTATTTGAGGAAGTCCCCCGAGGGGATATCTCATTCGGGAATTGTCCTTCAGCTATATATCCTTCAGTAAGTTACTTATATGGAAAATCTCCAATTGGGGAAGAATCCTATCTGGGAAATGTCCTTTCGGGGAAGAATTCGTTCTGGGATGAGCTCGTTCAAGGATTACCACAACATGGAAAGGACCGGCCGGACACAGGTTTCTTGTTATTGCCGAAGACCTGTACGATACGGCCCGGAGTGATTTCCCTACCGAATAGGTGTCCTTCGGGGTTCATCTTAGCTCATCCGATGCGCCGATTTCAAGAGTCTTCCCTGACTGTTGGCATATTGTACTGCCAGTGGCGTAATCAGGATTTCGCCAATGGGGGGGGGGGGGGGGGGGGGGGCGGGGGGGGGGGGGGGGGNTTTCGCCAATGGGGGGGGGGGGGGGGCTAAGCGGAACGGTGGGGAGGCTTACATCTTCCTCGCCGGGAAGGGGGGGGGGGCTTGAACCAAACTTGGGGGGTCTGAAGCCCCAACCCCCCTCTCGTTACGCCACTGTGTACTGCCCTCGTACTACTACATCATAGATTAGATAATGGTTCAGAGGCATTCTTGAAGTAAGGCTTTCCCGCAAAGCCTTTCGCGTAGACACGGGGGATTAAAAACGGGTCACGACGAGCCGAGGGCAGATAGATCAAGTCTACTTTTTGTTATAGCTGTCTGGTAGGATATCGTAGACATGTCGGATCATTTCGACATGCAAGCTTCAACTCCATCATGGCTCGTGCCATCACAGCTAGAGCGCGAGAGAGGTGCGAAACGAAGCATGCTTCTTGATGCAAGATCGAAGGTAATCTGGTCTGCAGGTCGATCGCATTTTGTTTATAGGGACGTGGGCTGCAGAAGGATGGTGACAAAGATTCCAACTCACCGGGAACTATGCAAACTCGTGACGAGGGAGCCCAGGCTTCATTTCGTTCCTTCGTTTTCTTCCTCTCGTCCCCCTATGCATTATTCTGTCTCCCCGACTGTCATCCCTTTCTTCTACAGTATATATGAGGAAATACGGAAGAAAAGGGATCGTGGGACGAGATGTTTAATTCGATGGAGCTCATCCAAGACGAGCCTGTCTCCAACATCCTAGAGAGGAGATTGAGGGCAGGCAAGTGGCTCGGTTGGCCGCTCCTTTGGTTCTCTTTGTAGCGGAACCGAGTTCAATACCAGCTAAGTCAGGCGTTTATTTCCTAGCGCAGGTCCCGACGTACTCAGGAAGAGAGACCTTCGAACAGTTTGCACTCCCAGCTCTAGAAGTGGGATGTTAAAGCCTTTAACTAACAGTCAGAAATAACTGTAAAAATATATATATCATGGCACATTTGGAATCCTTAGCTCAAAACTAACAACGTTTTCATTATTTTAGGATTTAAGGTGTTTACATGTATAGATATTTCCCATTTACATTTTCTGCAAGCTGACATTTAGT